ACAAATTCCTATGTAAGTCCTTAAGCATCACCAGGGGTTTGTGGATTTGCTTTTTTTAACTGTAACCTTTTTGAACTCCTTATTTACAGGTTTGTTGGATAAATTTCCTTCTAAATACTGGGCCAAAAGTCATAACTCAGGCAGATCTCAGCTTTGAGTTCTTAACTTCAAATACTGTAAGAAGCAGCCACCAACTCCGTGAAATACACTTGTAAGAAACATGGTGCCTCATACAGCAGATGGTTTCTTCAGTGTTGCCATGGTCAGGGTTGGAACAGTGGCCTGAAGCAGAAGGCTGCCTAAATGTAAATAGCAATCCTGCTTAAGCTTCCTGGGCTTGTGAAAACTAATCTTATTTGACTTGGAAGATGAAGTGTAATCACTGCTTTAGAAAACAGGAAGTACTATATAAATCAAGTAATACAGTGCTGATGCCTATTTATTAGCAATGTTGTCTTTTATGATATGTACTTTACAGCAGTGAATGAAGGCCTGCATATAGTTACAGCCCAAGTCTTCAGTTCTCTCCAGTCTGGCAGTGCTACACCTTCATGTTGTGGCAGTGCAGCTGTGTCCTCTGAGTGCAAGAGAATGAAATCAGGTTCAAGTGTATGGCTGTTAGAACCTGTGTGTCACCATGAGAACCTTGAGACAGCTTGTCAGGCAGCTTCCTAGGGAGAACTGCATTCAAAGACAAGCTGGTTCCACGTTAACAGTCACGGACAAACAGGCAGGTTTAACGTAGGCTGTCTAGTCTCAAAACATTTGACTTCGCAGTTTCAAGCTGTCGTTTTTGTATGAACCTGGATGAGTTATGTTCTCCAACTTCTGAAGAGGCTCACGAGCCTCTTTAGCAATTAAGCAGCTTAGCTGCACTTGGTGGTTTGTCCATAAACCACATTTAATAGCCTTACAGGGACTGAATATCAATTCACTTGAAAATGCTTCAGAAAGATTTGTTTCCTCCTGACTCTGTAGTTAGCATCACAGGAGGAATTGCTGTTCTGTGAAAACTGATACTATTTTCTTAACCATTTGAGTGGCTGTTGTTCTGGGTTTTGCTATGCAGTCAGTGTCTTGGCTCTCGAGAGCACTACCGGGTAGCACTGATAAAGGTCTGATAAAGGGCTGGTATCTCTTTAACTTGTGTTTGCTGTCTCATGGTGATAACGCACTACTATAAAGCTCGTGGGAGACAAGCCTTTTTTTTCTGTTTACAGTAGAATACTACATCTGTTGGGAAATATCAGAAGCTCTTATGGCAAACCATTACTGCAGAAAGAGTAACGTGTGGTCTAGCACTAGCCTGTTGAATGCATTGAAAATGAGGGAACTCTAATGGGTTTTGCTGTGACAGCATGTTAGAACTAAATCACAAGAAAGAAGAACTCTTTGGCTTGCCTGTGTTTTGCACACAGGTATGAGAATGAGTTACAGCTAGAAAACCTATTTCTTCCTCAGTTTGTGGCATAATTATCTAAACAAAGACTTGAGAAGATTCTTCTCTCTCTTTTATGGACGAGAGGTAGGTGAAGGAGAAGCATGATCTGTGCCCAAAAGGAGAATGGGAAACTAGGCCTTGAGTGGTGAAGTTACTTAACCTTATACAAAAGTATGTTAAGCTTGGTTATGCTCTTCTGCTGCTTTAACTTTAGCTACTAGTTCACTTGAAGTGACAGTGGAGAAGGAGAGTACTTACTGTGTAAAGATATGCTGAACGTAGGTCGTATGCATGTCAGTGTGTGGTCACACTGAAGCTAATTTGACCTGTATGAAGTTATTGTCCAAAACATAGCTGTGTAGGGGGACCTCGGGAGGAACTAATCTGTGCACTGGGAAATACCTGGACTTCTGTTAGAAGAGCTGCCTCTGCAAAGTTCTGCCTCTGGCGGTTCTGGCAGTTGTATTTTGCATGGAGGGTAAGACTTCAGAGAAGCTGGTGAACAAGGCTGAGCAAGCTTTCTTTTATGCCAGGTGGTTCTGAGTGTGGTATTAATGTAAGTATTTGCCTTCAGAGTGGTTGATCGTTGTTGTGATAAGCCCCTGAAGCCATACGTTGACTTGTAGGACTGTGGTGACAAAACTGTTGTATTTATCTTCAAGCGATCCAGCCCTTCATTTTTTAGGTGACAGTAGATGTGGAGGGCACTGATTCTGTTTCTGGCAAACCTGGCTGTTGTGTCTCTGCTGTGAATGCAAGGTAGCTGATAAGGCTTATCTCTGAACCCTTCCAGACTCTAAAAAAATCTGGGGTCCTGTATGGAAGTTCTTCACCAATTGTCAGCATGTTTTACAGAACTGTAGATGTTTGAACATACTCTTTCAAAGTGTGTCCTTACAAATAGAGCTTTATCTTAAGTTCAGAAGCAAACACCAAGGAACATGAATCATTGTTAACTAGAATAGTTATAAATGTGCGAAGTTAAACTCAGGTGCCTAAAGATGCAATACTGCAGTAGAAGAGGATGGGCTGAAGGCAGTAGGGAGCTCTCATTGTTCATGGCTGATACAAACATGACAGTAGAACTAACTCGGCTTCTTCGTTGGTTCAGGTGTGAAATTACACGTTTCTGTGGGCAAAGAAATCTGGTATACAACAGGCATTGATTACTGATATGCAGGCTGGCAAGCAGATGGTTTTTCTAGACTTCATACTGAATTAGATAAACACTAGAGACTGGAAAGCTGAAATAAGAGAATGTTTGACTGCTGGTCTTTTCCAGTTGCCATATTCATTTTGGCATATAGCAGCATGCTGCTGCAGTGCCATTTCATTTTCTGCTTGCAGTATGTCCAGTCAGAGTCAGCATGCTGACTCTGCATCTTAGTCACAAGTTCTAGGGAGCTCAAAACAGAGAAGTCCGTTTTAATATTTTTAATGCTTCTGACCTGGGTGCTTTCTGGAAACTCTTAGCTCTGTGCCCATTAGTGGCTGTTTCTGTGGAGAAGAAAAGTGGCCCTAAGACAAACACCTCTATTTCAGCTCAGCTGCAGTCCTCATCAATGATATTGTTCCTTTTACCTCAGCAGACTACCAGCCTGTGTACTGAAGACCTTGATGAGTGTTTTTTGGTGTAACAAGAAAACTTATATTATCACAGTTCTTGGAAGACTCTTCAGGACTTACTAGCCCTTTCACCTGGCTGGTGATTTAGTGCTTCCCAAGGAGTCTCCCTCATGAAACAGGTGCCTTCCTCTGGAGAGGAGAGCTACATCTGTTTAAAGGCCAGCCTCTACTGGATGTTGTGGCAATAAACTGGTGTCTCCAGTTTGACTGTCTGACTGTGTGAATTGCTCTCTTCTCTTCCAAGGCAGGCAGAGTGGGCAGCTGGCTTGTTCAGGCTGTTAATGTCAGTATGTGTTACAGGCTCTGGCTTAGGACTAATTCCAGCCCTGCCAAAACAAGGTGAGCAGCTGCAGCACGCATCTGCAGTGCAGGTGGGCTTAAGCTGAAGGACAGCGAAGCGTCAGCGTGTTTTCTGTGTGGGCTTTAGTCTTCATAAGCCTACTTAGCAGCTGTAACTGCCCAAGTCAGTGTGTGTGCAGTGCTCTCCACAGACCTGCTCTGAGGGAGCTTCCAGCGTGACGAGGGACGCCCAGGGTACCTGCAGTGGAGCAGACCAAGGCTCTGAGCTTCATGTGCCTCTTGAGCCAGTTCTTTTTGGCTCCTGGAACTTGCAGAGGAGTAGCCGTCAGACAAAGCGGCTACCATCTGTTAGATGTAGGAGTCTAGTTGTAAAATACTGAGTTCTCGTAACTGAGAAGCTAGTTTTCATTAAATTGAGTTTTCCCCTACTGAAGTTTTTAAGTATGTTCTTGGAGACTAGTTAATCTTCCAACTGAAGTACCTTGTTTGAACTGATGATCTTACAGTCCTCTACGTAATGCAGTTAATAATTGCTATTTAGGGCTCAGAGGTCAGGACTTAATAATACTTGTCTTCCCTGATGATAAAGGAGTTTGAAGAGCTTCCCATGTGAAATCAACATGACTAGCATGAAACTGGAGCATAGCTAGCCACAAAGAAATAGAGGATACAGATAAAGCAGCACAATGCTCTTAGTTTTAGGCAAATTAGCATTCTTATTTAAGAAGGTGGTGCAAAATAACTTGATTTTCTGCTTATTATTGACTGACTTTGGTACAGTCTTTGCTTATTGAAGAGTGTGTTAACACGGCTGAAACACCTCTGTGTCATAAATTAACCCATGGTAGCATTACAGCTGAGACAAAGGTAGTAACATGACTCGCTGTATCATGCAGGCAGATGTTATGCAGCACTGTTCCAGAGAGGTTTCTCAATTCTTGAAATTCTTAGTGTTTTGCATAGTCTAGAGATTTAAATAGTTCACAAGCTCAAATGTTCGTCTCACAACTGACAGGTGTTCCCTATGGCTGTGTAAGTTTTAGGGTCCTGTGGCAAAGATTTTTTTAGCTGATGGTGTTTCTGAGGCTCTGTTGCCAGTGCCAGAGGGAATGATCCTGGAGCTGAAATCGGAAGCTATCAAATGTGTTATCACAGAAGGCAGCAGAAAGGTGACTTTGCTAGGAGTGTGTTAGTTGTACCTTTTGAGCTGATTAGGCATTAGGAGGTAACCAAACTAGGATAAGAATTACTAAGTGTTGGCTGCAGGTTTGTTAGTCCTCCAGGTAGAGACTAAAACAGTGAGAGCTGTGCTTCTTAATGTGTGAACAGTCGTCTGGGTGTTCACACAGGAGAAAGTGTGAGTAACTTCAGAAGAGGGTCTGTAGCAGCTTCTCAACAGTATCAGCTCTGCTGTTCATGTATCTGCAGCATGATCTCACGATAAAGAAAAACAACCTTGTGTTACTTGTTACTCAGAATAATGGTTCATGTGGTTTCTTGTGCCTGTCAGCAGAAGTGACCCTGCAGAGCAGCAAGTCACATTCCTTTGGGTAACTCCTACATCAGACACTCTGGTAATGCTTCCCATACACGTCTACTGAAATCAATAACTGGCTGTTCTGTCTTTTCTCAGAGAGCTAAACTGCAGTCACTTCTTTACAGGTGCTGCTGATGGAGTGGTTAATGGACACGTCTATCAGGTAAGCCTGAAGTATTCTATACTTACAGCATGCTGTTGTACTCTCTGAACTTTACACAGACTAATACTTCCCACTTCTTGTCTCTCACATACTTCTCTCATCTATGAAGAGGAACTTCTATTCTGGTTGCTTATCTTATGAAACTGTTAATGCTTTTAGTATGCTCCTCCTCTGAACTTCAAGGCAGCTTAAAGCAGCAGTCCATTTTGAATTATGGCATGACCAGACAAACAGGCTGTGTGGTATGATTTAATGCTGACTGGCTACCTAGCTGGAAGTGTGCTCTTACTGCCTAGTTTAAAGCTGAGTTCTTTGAATTCCTTGTTCTTCAAGAATAATTCATATGTCCTGCTTGTCTTGCCAATATTTGTCTTACAAGGAGCTGACCCAAAACATTATACACTTAGTGACATAAAGTTGCCTGAAATTAAGCTGCTGCTAAATAGCTCTGTCATAGTATGAAAACATGTTCAGCCATGGTAATGACAAAAGGAGGAGATACTTGCTTTTATTAGTGTCAGGGAAGAATGATGCATGTTAAAGCAATCACTGTCCTGTCACTGAGTTTCACACCAGTTTGGCTAAGGCATTGTCATACAATACATTGCATTGTATTGCTGCACAACCCTGGTTAAGCGAATGCTTGAGAAGGGGGCAGCATGTGAGCTACTTCTCCAGAGTTTTAAGTGAACGCTGGGCTTTCTGGAGCTTTCCTTGCTGCTAAGATTTTTATATCTGTACCATTGCTGTGGGACTGAAGTGAAATGATCTTACTGGCCCTTTGTACTTCCTTATACAAGAGGAGGGAGGCAAAATACCTTGATTTGCCCCTGGACTTGGCAGTGGTGAGACTGCTCCTTGAGCACAGTCCAGTTTTGGGCACCACAGGATAAGGACATTGAGGTGCTGGAGCGGGTCCAGACAAGGGCAGTGAGGCTGGTGAGAGGGATGGAAGACATGGGCTGAGGGAACTGGTGTTGTTTAGTCTGGAGAAGAGGTGGCTGAGAAGAGACCTTATTGCTCTCTACAGCTACCTAAAAGGAGGTTGTGGTGAGGCTGGTGTTGGTCTCAGAGATGACCTCAAGTTGTCCCAGGAGAGGTTTCGATTGGGTGTTAGGAAGAGAGAGTTTAGACACTGAAACAGGCTGCCCAGGGAGGTGGTGGAGTCCCCATCCCTGGAGGTGTTCAAAAAATGAGTAGATGGAGCACTTGAGGCTATGGCCTAGTGGTGGAAATGCTGGGACGAAGGTTGGACTTGATGATCCTGGAGGTCTTTTCCAACCATATTGATTCTATTATTTTGTGTTTGCAATGCTAAGTGATCAGTTGATTTTCTTGATAGAGCTTCTTCCTACAAGAAGAGACTGAAGGGACTACATGTTACAGGTAGCTAAGACAAAAGCTACTAGTTTGACCCTGCAGCTAGCCAGTTAATTTTGTTTTTGACTGAATGTGAAGCCTGATGCTGTTCCATAAGCCTAGCTCCTTCTCTTTGTGTTATTCCTTCACTGAGGGCTGCAGGAGGTCCAAAGAATGGCAAGAGCCAGCTAAAGCTGTCGTTGGCCACAATCCATCTGGTACTGTCAAGGGTGGTATTTCTTAGATTTATTAGTTCACCCTACACTTAACAAAAATTGTTGGACTTCCAAGTATGCTCTGTGGCAAACAGCACAACATTTAGTAGCTTTGTGAATTTGGTGTATTAATCATAGCTGTATTCATTGCAAGCCTTTGAACTAATATACAGTAAAAATTCTGCTAGTATCCATGCTGTTTTGATGCTTAAGTGTTGAAATGCCTCATGTATCTAAGCTGCACAGAGTGATCCTACTTCTGTAATGTCTTTAAAGGGTGTTGGCTTTTAATAGGGGTTACGTTTGCCAATTTCTCTAAAGTAGCCAAGTTAGAGAGTATTTTAAACGCCTATGTAAAGAAATAAAAAATAAATTTAAAAAGTATTTGTTATGAAAGTTATTTTTTAAGGTGAGAGGAGCTGGAAGATCTCTAAGCCTACAACTACATAGTGAGATGCTAGGCATTGTCTTCTTTCTTCAGGTGTAGACTTCTGGCACAGTTTGACTTGGGTTTGTTTGATCCCTGATTGTTAGAGGCAGCCCTGTACTAATTTGCTTCAGTCCTGTGGTAATTTGTGGCAAGACATTCTTCATATTAATGGTGGCCATGTGGTATAACATCACGTGAATGCGTCAGCTTTCAGGCAGCTACCTGACACACTCAGCTGTGGTGTATCAATTGCATTACTGTGTCTTCCCTGTAAGGAAAGCAACGGTCCAACAGACTCCTACGCTGCCATATCCCAGGTGGATCGACTGCAGTCGGAACCAGAGAGTATCCGCAAGTGGAGAGAGGAGCAAAAGGAGCGCCTGGAGCAGCTCGGTAAGGAGGGTGCCTGTTGCAGTACTTGCTTGTGAGTAACTTGATGGCAGCTCCTTCAGTAGCAGAATTCTCAACGATGGCTTCTGGCTCTTGGGAATGTAATGTGCTTTTTGAGCTTGAACAGCAAGTCTGAATCGGTCTCCCAGTAAGCAGACTTCATACTGATGTAGGAGTCAGCAAGCAAGTGGCTCTCTTAAGTGTATTCGTGTGGGCTGGCCTTTACTTAAAATAAACTGAACAGAAAATGAACAGCTTTTATCAGCAGAAAAGAGTGAACAAATACTGCAGTTATCAGCACTTTTTTCAAAGGATTGAGGTTGCTCATTTTGTAATTGCTGAGGCGATGCCTTGTCAGACAGATCATCTAATGGCCAAGTTAAGTAATGGACTAGTACCTAAATTAAATACAGCTGTCAGATGCAGTGATACCTACCGGGGGACAGCTGCTAAGAGCCTATAAACTGATATGCTTTCCACTCACATTAGGGAGTGAAACTGAAATTGAAATTGGCTAGACATTGTTCAAACAGAACCTTCTATAGAATGTGATTCTGGATAGAGCTGATCCTGTTGCTCCTATTCTGGGCTAGTTGCAACAGATGAGCTTGTCCTTAAATGTAGGCTGGGTATAAAAGCGTGCTGAGTGCCAGGCTGCCTCACTTTGCCTAAGCACAAAAGCTTTACAAGCTTTATTTTTGTACTAGCATAGCAAGGTGACTGGTTTTGGATTTGAACAGTTTTCAGGCCAACAGACGTAGTAAATATGAACTAGTTTACAAATGCCTATCCTAAACTGGACTGTCATGGCTGACTGTCACGGTGCAGGCCTTCAGTTTAGCTAGTCCTCTAAATGTGTATGGTATTCAGAGTTCTCATGGTCCCCGTCAGGAAATCTAACCCTTGTCTGAGCAGATTAAGCAACTGTCTGCACTAGAGTGATGTCAGCTGAAAAGCCAGCAAGATCCAACTGGAGCAAACATGACTGAAAAATCATGTCTTAAATCTTCAGATGCGAATTCACGGAAGCAGGAAGCAGAATGGAAAGAGAAAGCAATAAAGGAGTTGGAGGAGTGGTATGCAAGGCAAGATGAAAATCTCCAGAAAACAAAAGCCAGCAACAGGTAAGGCTTCTGCAGCCATCTGAAGAGTTATGGTACTGGATATGAAAGTAATGGGGGAGGGAGGGAGGTTAGAACACTTCTAGTATGTCCTACTTCCATATTTCTGGTGTCTAGTATTTGCTAGTTCTTCAGACTATTAAAGTAACACCTACTAGAAACGTGGTCTGTAGCGGCAGACCATCTATTTAATTTTTCTTAGATTATATGTCCAAAACCAGCAAAAAAGCGTTGGATAATGAACCAGAATTATAGAAGATAGAGCCAGAGAAAGCTTTAGTCTGGCCACTTGTTTGCATGCTCCTAGCTGCACAGGCCTTCAGTAACTGTAACTACCTGTTTTGAGAGTCGCAATCTTAGTTGCTGTTTTTAACAGACATGGAAGTGGCCTTCTACTTTGTCTTTGCTACAGGTTATATAATCAGGTAACTTAAAACCTTCGGCCACTTCTTTTGGAAGTTCTTGAGAAATAACCTGACTCAGTTCTGGTAGTGAAGAACTAGGTGCTGACTGTGTCTGTGTTGGGTTTGAATTGTCTGTTTATGGGTCCTGGGTCAGAAATTAGAGACTTGGCTGCCAGTCTAGTCTGCTCTTACACTTTCTTAGAGGTTCCCTGTGGAATCTTGACTTCAGGCCGTGTAACGGTAAATGTGATGGTATTGATTTAACACCACTTAGATCTCCACTTCTGACCTAGGGTTGCCAGTGTCCTGTCCAGGTAATCTTCAGGGCTGCTTTATACTTTGGGAGCTCACAGGCTTCCAGGTGAAGTTTTGAAACACCATTTTTTCATATCAAAATGTCCAGCATGTTTGTCTTGAGTAGGTGGAGTCCTGTGTAGGCTCCACTTCCTGCTAAAGGAAGAAAGGAGGCCTTCACTTCCTACAGAATGATGGATTTGACACTTCCATTCACTGAGGTACAGTCTTTTGATTTGGTCAAGAAAGGGAAGCAGGATTGGCACGCTTCCGTTTGGTGCCCAGAGCTCATGATACCCCCATAGGTGTATCGTGGCCAGTATCTGAGTGCACAGTGTGCATTCTCCAGCAGGATCTAGAGCATTTGGCATTCTCAGCAGCCTGGCGAGATCTCTCTCCTAGTGGTAGTTTCTGTCCACTGGAAGTAGTCTAATGCTGACACTGGGACTCCAGTCTTAAACTGGCTGGTCCCAGCTCCTAGGAGCTAGCACAGCTTTTGTGTTGCCCTTCTGAGTCAGTGCCATAGTTGATATGTTCCACACGGTAGCTGCTCTGCTGTTACAGTAAGTGTAGGGGATACAAAATTAATGTGCTTGTTAAAACTGCCTTCAGCTGTGTTCTGTACTTCTCACCCTTATCTCTTCTCTCCTGCCTGCTTGCCTGCCTGTTGGACTACTTGCTACCTAGGGTGGCAGATGAAGCTTTCTACAAACAACCCTTCGCTGACGTGATTGGTTATGTGTATGTCGCTTAACTACTAATTATGTTTGCTAGTCAACTAGGTGATGAGGAGGACCAGAAGTGGTGCTGAATGTCTGAAGGTGACACCTGAATATCTTGGGGAGTATAAGCTAATATAAGCAAACAGCTGCTGCTTTTTGGCCTGATGCTGACCTGCAGTATTACGTGCAGTCTTCCTATAAGGATCCCATTTGCTGCACAACGTCCAGGACTTTCAGATTAAGTCATGTTGTACACATACCACCCAAATTTTGGTAATGGCTTCAGTAGGTTTTAGGTGGAGGGGTTTACAGCTGTCTCCAGGTCAGCGAGCACTGCTTATCAAGGTGCTTTGGTGGGTGTGTGGGTTAGCGTCTGCAGTATCATAGTTAGAGGCAGCTCTGTGTAGACATTTTGCCAGCCTAATGGATCAGTGAGAATACAGTTGTGACTATCAAGCCCCAGTGGAGTATGCTAGTTTCCACGGGATGAGAGGATTGCAGTGTTCCTTGGCTTCTTAATGCATTTTAATTCCTTAAACTTCAGTGGAAAGATTGCCATGTCACAGATTGTAAGGGGACACTTTTAGAGGGTGTGTTGGTGAGCCGTGGTGTGGCTTTGAGTGCATTAGTATTGAAAGTCCAGAGTGGAATCCATTACCTAACTGTAGGTGGATGTAAACAAACACTTGTGAAATGATGGATTTACAGGTGGCGCTTGACTTTCCTGAAGTCTGCTGGAATTGATTTTGATAGATTTTTCCAATAAAGCCCTTATTTTCATGTATCAAATGCAAATGTGCAGCAGAAGTGCTGCAGAATGAAACTGGTAGACTGTTTCCTGGATGTAGGCAAAGCTACTAGTGCATGTCCAGCCAGCTGATCATCTGCATTTAACTCATTCTCATTTTCTATATCTGACTTAAACTTTCTCTCCTTGTTTCTTTTCTTCTCTTCACCTTTAAGCACAAACATAAACCATCCTTGCTACAGCCTAGAACAGTTAAGTAAAAAAATCTTCACTGCCCTTTAAAAGTGTCATGTCACATGAAGTAGCAGTGTTGTAGTGACCCTTGTCTTCAGTGGTGTCTGTAACCTTACCATCCTTGTGAACAGTGCTGAACCCTCACGGGGGAGTCATCGTCACTGCTTTCTCTGTACTGCTTGTTGGAGTAGATGGATTTGGTTTGATCTCAACGCTTACTGCTCTTGCATTCAGGCAGCTGTCAGGGCCCCCCAGTCCATGTAAACTGGGTGGTGGAGTGTTATCCCCACACTGCAGCAATGCTGTTGGCACCATGGCAACACCAAAGGCATACAGCTGGGAGACTGCTGGCACTAACCTGCACATAATGCACAAAGCCTCCCTACAGTCTCCTCGGGGTGAGCACAGGGGAAACATCTTTACTCTGTGAGCTGACCTCCAGTGAGTAATCCCCTATGCCAAGATGTGCTTTAGGCTCTATTAACCACAAGCATGGGTTTCATGGCTTAAATTCATGCTGCTTCACTGCAGCACTGGGAATCATCAGCGGATAGTTTTATGACATAGGCCTTTGGGCTGATTTGTATCTTAAAATGGACTCCTTTTGAGGATTTACTTGCAGGGAGTTGTAAATTTCCAGTTGGCAAGTGTCCAGTGTAAGCCCTCAAGTGGCAGAGGCTTAACTAGTTAAGACCTGGGCAAAGTACATGTAAGTACAAAGACTCAATAACTACTCTTAAAACCAAACACCTGTATTCCAACATTTTACACAGCAATCCTTGGCACTGCTTGTGCATAGCATACTACTGCAACCTACTTTCATCTCCAGTGTTGGCACAGTGGGAGCTTCAGTAACCGTGATGTCCACAAGCAGCTGTCAGGTCACATTTCTTATGAAACATGCTGAAAGAAACTGTACCCTGTCAGAGGGAAGGAGTGCCTTTTACGTCGGGCATTAACACAAGGTGCGTTGCATTGCTTCTAGGGCAGCTGAAGAAGCCTTTGTGAATGATGCAGAAGACATTTTTCCAGGCACTGAGTGGGAACGTGTGGCTCAGCTCTGTGACTTTAATCCCAAGTCTAGTAAGCAGGCAAAGGACGTGTCCCGCATGCGTTCAGTCCTCATCTCACTCAAGCAGGCTCCGCTGGTTCGCTGAAGGAGAGCACGATGGAAACACTACAGATGCAATAGCCTAACCTTACTCAGAGAAGCTATGTTTGCAGTAATTGGATTACTCGTTTCAGTCTTGTGGTGTGTGTGGTTTGTGTTTGTTTTTCTTTTTTTTTTTTTTTTTTTTTGGCCAAACCTCATTATGTATCTAGAACTGATCATTATTTGCTTGCATGTTCTTCCTCATGTTTCTTTTCTGTGTCTGAAATGGGAGAACCTCCAGAACTGTAGTCTCTGTGCTGTTGTGCACTGAGATGTCACTTCACACATTACGGATATTAAAGATCTGTTAAAACAGCAAAATGTGTTGCCTTTGGATGAATTAAGGTCTGCTCCCTTTCAACAAGGTGTCTTGGAATTGAGTGTGAGCAAACGTTTCTCTTAACTGCTAGTGATTTCACCTGGCTGGTGACTGATCAGCCAGCGATGTTCCTAGTCTCTTAAGAGGTCGTCCTGCTTGTCTCTATAAGCTTCCTAAAGCTGCTGAGAGCTTTAGTTTAAAAACTGCTTTCCTATCCAATTTACCACAGAAGATAGAAGCTCCGGGAAACTGGAGCAGCATGCTCATCAAGGAGCTTATCTCCCTTCTAGAAGAACTGAGGACACTGCCTGCTGCAGGTAGGCAGTTCTGCCTCCTTTCCTGCTGTCAGGCCAGCGGCAGGTCTCCAGCTAGAACGACAGTACAGGGCACTAAGTAGTTAAAGCCTGTGACATTCTGCTGCATGCTCTGTTCTGCCATGCATTCAACACTGGCTTTGTATGCAGGGTCCTGTTGTGCAGCAGCTGTACGGGTGTTTTTGAACTCGGTCTTTGTGTTACTGACTCTTGCAGACACTTTTTCCCACCAGGGTGGTGGACTGGAGGTTCCGAGATCAAGCGAAGGGAAGACTTGCTCTTACTGCTGCTCATCTGTTAGGTTGGAGTCCTGTCTTCCAGGGTGGCTGAATGTGAAACTGATCCAGAAAATCTCTGTTCTGCTGCTCCCTTGGCTCTGATCTCACCCTGCACTCACAAGGGCTGTATTCTAGCCTTGTTCTGGTAAGACTAACCTTAGCTGTCTGTCTTGTAAGGATAGCCTCTTCATTCTCATACATAATAACATTTTTTTTTCAAAGATACAGTAGCTGAGCTAGTGTGTAGCAGAAATGCTGTAATACATTTAGTGTACAAGCTGGGATGTTACCCCAGTTTGAAGAGGGCTGCAGGTGCAGATTAAAATTTACCAAGGTTCAGGCAGTTGCTGCATAGCAACTGTCTTACTGGCTGTGTCCCTTTGGCAGATAAGTTAGATAAATGTTTGCCAACTGGGCTTCAGTAGTTAGTTATCTGGCTTCAATTAATAAACCTCACTGTTGCCTGTTCTCATGATTGCAAGCATGTTCAGAACCTCCTCATGAGTGGTGATGAAAACGATACTAGATGACAAGTCTGGAAGCTTAATTCCGTGGAAGAGTAAAGCAGGAAAGTATTTTCTGAACTGTGCAGGGATACTACAGGTGAGTTTAATAGGACTGAAGCACAGAGCAAGTCTGTAGAATACTGGTACTGAATGCCAGCCTGGACTAACTATGCATTCACTTTAGTGTGAGCAGCAGAAAGGAAGTTTTCAGTCAGAGCTTTACAAAGAATGGCTTCTAAAATTAATTGGTAACTTAAGAAGGAAAACTGCTGCATTAAATATACATTGTTTAAAATGTTAACCTAAATTTACTGGAATTTGAAAGATCAGCACATTTTAGGGGTTCCTAAATTCTCAACAGGATATTTTATCTGTGCTAATGGCATGGTTTTGAGCTGCAATTGAAGAAAGAGGGCAAAGATTCTCAAGTTCAAGGCCAAAGCAGTTTATAGAACTTAGAGCAGCATTTTAGAAGCCGGGTATGCAGGGACTACTTATGTATCTGTGGTTTTTGTGCACACTATCTAGCTGGAACACTGAACAAGCAGCTGTGATTTCTGGTTTCTTCCTCTAGCTCTTGTGTTAAGATTTTGTAGATTCTCTTCTGCCTTGGTTTTATCTTTAAGTGTTCTTGCTCACTGTATCCCTTCTGCCCCCCTGTATCAGTGCTGTCAGTTTCACAGAAAGGCTGAGGTGGGAAGGGACCTCTCAAAGTCATCTGGTCTAACCCTCCTGCTCAAGCAGAGCCATCTAGAGCTGGGTGCCCAAGTCCCAGTCCACACAGCTTTTGAAGATCTCCAAAGAGGAAGACGCCGCCATCTCTGAGCAACCTGTATCAGTGTTTGATCACTGTCATAGTGAAAAAGTGTTTCCTGGTGCTCAGGAGGAAACTCCTTTGTTTTAGTGTGTGCCCACTGCCTCTTGCCCTGTAATGGGGCACCACTGGGAAGAGTCTGGCATCTCTGCATTCACTCTCCAGATATTTGTACATATTCATGAGATTATTCCTTAGCCACCTCTTCTGCACACTGAACAGTCTTCAGCTCTCTCAGCTTCTCCTCATAGGAGAGAGTAGATGTGGGAAGGTTACTGACAACCCAGGCCTGACTTTGTAGGTGATGGTCTGCCTGTCTGGTATTTCTGCTCGCAGGAAGGAAGCCTACTCAACAGTGTTCAG